CGCGGTTCGCGTATTTGCGGACTCAGGTAGCAAAGGTATCCGCTGGCCAAAGATTATCGGTAAATCGGAATTGCAACCGGGCTGGATTACATTTGCCGTAATTCCATGCGCTGTTACATCGCCGATTTTCACCCTGGCCTTCCTACCGAAACGTCCGCAGGACAACATTAACGACAATCTAGGCAATTACCTTTATCAGCATAAAGTTAGTTAATTCGTCGAATCACTGAATCGAATAACATTTATGCAACCGGGTATAAGTGGTTCGCTTTTCGACAGAATTCGAGCCATGAACGCTGGCCTTGATTGGACATGGTTAACTGATCCGGCAACCTTTATAAAATGAACAATCGCCATATTATTAAACACAATTTCCGCCAAGTCTATAATGTTGAAACTGTCGGTTATATAGATTGCGTTTGTCACCGCAATTTCGCTGGCAAGTGTGGACCCTTTTGACGAAATTTTCCATCACTTCCAAGCATAATTGTGGCACTAGTTTCGCGTTCACTGTCCGGATTTCGTCTTTCAACCTTCAATGGCAGCCGGATCGTTCGTGAATAGGTTATATAGTACTATCTACTAGTACTATATATAGTACTACCTACCAGCAACTCCGGCACATTTTTGGAGCAAAGCGCCTGAGATAAAGGAAGTCTTATTTTCAGCGGAGAAGATTACACGTCTTTGCGAAAGCGTTTGATTTTATTCATTTTATGTTGCTAGGTATAAAAATGGGCAAAAAATGTTTTAATCGTAATGGTACACACGCTAAGCACGTTTTCGCTACAAATAACAATTGTCAACGTTGACAAAAACGTAGCATCTTCGGTGTAATCATGCTAAGAACATTGGGCTCCGCAGCAGAGCCTTTTTTTATATGTTTTCCAGAGTAACTTATTGGATGACGTTATCGAAAAGTGAACAAGGAATGAAGGAAAACAAAGAATGAAATCTTTCTTACCGCGTTTTGCGTGCGTCTTGAGCGGAAAGAGGGACGTTTTGGGCTCGGCAATGTATTCGTTACAATACTAGCCGAAGTATTTATCTGAAATATTTCTCGAACAAAATTTTAGTCCACGAATTTATTCGAATAATGCCCAACTCTCTGATTTCGATCGAGTTTTCTCAACACACCTCAGTCTTCGCTCGCGCCGAAACAAGTTTTAAGTGGAAGTTTATAATACTTTAGATTCATTCTTTGAAGTTTAAATATGGTACAATTGAGTTACCTCAATCAAATTATACAGAACCGAGAATTGAAGAGTTTTGTCATGAAAAACACAATTATTCCAACAACCTCTATCGTACGTATCGACTACAGTAATGTCTCCCTAATTGACGCTCAGATCGTCCACAAAAGTGAACGATTTGGGAAGAGGAGATACGATTGTTCGAGCCACGCGACTCATTTTTGTAGTTATCGATTCTAAACAACTATAAAAACGAGGCGCAAGGGTTGAATAATCGCATCTCCTCTTCCCAAATCGTCCATTTTTGTGGACAATCTGAGCGTCGATTAGAGAGACATTACTGTAATTCGAAACGAAAATTGTACTAATTTGACCGGTAAAAATCGTATCGCAGGTTGCAGGGAAGGCTTTCGATGCATATTATGCCCCGAACGATACTCTTTTTTTGGAGTACCCTAGGGTTCCCGTGGCAAGAATCGAGGCAGACTAACGGAAAAAATTGAACGACCGCGGGGTCGGGTCTAAATAATGAAAGATGAACGACTTCCGTGCCGGTCAGGTCCGGTCCGGCCGACGACGCTCTTTAAAATATTCACGCGGTCCTGCGTTTGACGGCCGCGGCCAATCGGAAAGCACGGGAGCGTCCCCCAGGACACGGGACACATTCTCTGGGAGGCTCCTCTGTTGGGCCGCGCGATGGTGGTCCCTCCATCGATTCCGAACTTCAGACCGATCCAGATACTGCCGGCCAGAGAGGCTATACACGCGCGTCGCGGAGGGAACGCCAGAGGAGAGCGAGAGAGAGAAAAAAATCGGCAAGAGAAAAAGGAGTGGCTGCGGCATTGTGACTTTCGATGACAATCGTCGCGGCCGGCACAGACATTTGATCGAATCAATCGATTGGTTTCTATGGTTCTTCTAAACACAGTCGGATGAGGGTACGGGCTGCGTCAAAGGGCCACTGACGGTTGGGAGAACGGCTGGCTGGAGGAACGAAGGGATGGTCCCTGGAGAGGACTAGCTGCCAACGCGGAACAGAGATACCAGAGCCCGGCACGTGCGACTGTGTGTACGCGTCTCTCTGTGTGTGTGTGGGAGACGGATAGGGTTAGAGGGGTACGACGGGAAAACCGAGTAGCTCCGGGCTCATTTGAATCCGACGTTCGATAATGTCCCCGGAGAGCGCCGAAATATCTCGGTGCACATTGCACGCACACGCGGCTACGCAGCCCGCGATATTATAACACACTCCGCGGGTCCCCGATGACATTTTCCGCGGCGATGTCGTTCATCAATGCCACGCAATAAAATTCGCCGAAGCCAGGACGGAAGAGACGCGCCGAAGACCACGAAAGACGCTAGACGCTGATCGATCGCTAAGCCTTGATGGCTTTGCACGCCGCGGCGTTGTCTTCCATCGTCTACCTTCGGTCTGAATAGATTCATGCTGTTCGGCGGAACAGCGGTAACGAAAATGTGAACGATGATGTTTGGCGCGCTGGAAGGTAATCGACGGAGCCGGCTCCGGAGATATTGATATTGTCGCAGCATTATGGCGTACCTTGTACTCCATCTGCTTGAGTACATCTATACAGGATGTTCCGGGATGATTTCTCCGCCAAACTGCGGGATCTTAATTGGGAGGCCGGAGGAAGAAAAATATGTTACACGAAGATTGCTAATTAACGTTTTGTTACGGTGTTAGAAACAAAAATAGAAACTTCATAATTTTACTGAATTTCAGTGTGTATGTGTGTGGGGGGGGGGGTGTCATCCCTTTTCTTTGCACGAGCCTGTTTCGTAATTGGAATGGAACGTTAATAGACACGGATGTCCTTGTAATTACACAGACGCGCGCATTTCTATCGCAAAAACGTACGAAGCGCGTACAAAGCGAACGTCAGTGCATTCGGCGTTCGAAAATCTTGACATTTTGATGCTGGTTTACTGGATAATTGCCTAACTACTGAAGCTATATTATTGCTACTAGAGCTATTATTATCACCACGCGACAATAAAGCTCGAGGATGGTTATCGTATGATTTGTGTGGAGTTACAAGAAACTCGAATACATGTCTCCCTTACTTACGCTCGGATTGTCCACTAAAATAGATAATTTGGGAAGGGGAGATACGATTGTTCGAGCCTTGCGGCTCGTTTTTATAATTGTGGACAATTTTTAACTATCAAAATAAACCGAATGACTCGAATAATCGTATCTCCTCTTCCCAAATTGTCCATTTTTGTGATCAATCTGGGCGTTAATTAAAGAGACATTACTGTTCATCTGTGTTTATCAACACTCCCTTCCGAATATGAAACAGGCTCGTGCGAAGAAAAGGGATGACTGAAACATCGAAATTTAGTAAAATAATGAAGTATCATTCTACTTGGTGTAACATTTTTCTCGTCTTTTGGCCCCTAGATTAAGCTCTCGCAATTCGACGGGAAAATCCCGGGACACAGTGAAGTATGACATACTTCACATTGAAGTATGTCTGTCTTTAATGAGAAGCTTACAGTCGTTTTACCGACCCCTTGTCGTAACATTTTACTTCACAGTTGCAATGGTTGGTAGTTTCTCGAATGTAAGAATTTCTCAGAAGAAAAGGAAGACTTACATTTATTAAATAATACTTGTACTTAATAGTTTGTTACTGTAAATACTCGTGAAAGTACAGTAAAGGGGTAATGGAGAAGTTCTGCCGTGTTTCAACCGTTTTATACATTTATGACAAAAATGACTGGATCAAATTGCAACTAGTACAAACATTTGAAGAATTTATAGACATTGTTGTTTTTAATGTTTAACTCATTAAAATCAATAAGGAAAGAAATAACTGTCTATGTAGTCCTGCATCTTGCAATCAGTACACATTTCTATAAAAATTGGTCCCTCGAAAAGCATAATTCCCATTGAAAAGGTGACGATTATACAGCAGATTTTTATGCAAAATAAAAATTGTCTGCAACACGAAAGTGCTACAAAAACATTTATATCCTTCGTTCAAAATTATAACGAGTTACAGATAACGCAATAATGTTTCTAAATTCCCGAAATATTTTTCATCGCGTTCGTCATCGATGCATAAAATCCGCAGTCTGAGAATAGTAATAAAAATTCCAGTTTCTCCAGATTTACCTTCGAAAATCTCGGTTCGCGCAAAGTCAGTCCAGTCGAGCTTAAATAGTCGATTCGTTCGGAAGTTTTATTGGAGAAAGATTCCGTTCAGGTAATTGGCGAAAGGTTTTCCTTCAATTTGAAAGTTCACGAATAATCGAAGACCGAAGTGCAGAAGAGAATGATCGAGGGCTGCGAAAAATAATCACGACTATTAACGCGCGATTCGATTTCCTCGAGTCGAGGAGAAGTCATGGGAAAGAAGCAACATTCGCCCGAGGGACGCCGGGTAGCGGGTTGGATTTTCCTGTGGGAGGAGAGGGAGTTTAGAGGTCGGGAAATTAGTTTAGTTATGCGCCCGGCAGGGACGTCTTCCGCGTCTCTAGGATGAACGTAAGTCGACGACGGAGCACGTAGACGTTTCAACGTTCTGACTTTCTACTTTCCTCCTCTCGGCCCCTCACCCTTAGCCTCCCCAGAATTCCTCTCTTTTCCTCCTCTTTCTTTTTTTATTTAGCCTCTCCGTGCTCCTCGAGGATTCTGAAAGGCATCGAAGGGCCGTGGAAGAACGATTCTCCGCGGACGGGAAAGAAAAGAGCCGACGTTTCAGTAGATTTCCAGGGAAGCCGGCGGAATCGACGGTCACGATTAAAATTGGCGTTCGTCGATTGCCAGAGACCGCTTACCTGCGAGTCTTCCTCGGTAAATATCGCGTCGAACGCGAACATTTTCGGCGCTGCCACGGTCGGCCTGCGGTCCTCCGCTGATGAGGACTGCCCGGCAGTCGGGTCAACCAGGGTCACCTGTTTCTTCCTCTTGTCGGCGTTGAAAAAACTTCCCCCATCTCCAGGTGACACTTTCAGCATCACTTTTACCTGCAAGTTGAAAGATAAATGTGATTTTGTAGATATAATTAAATATAAATATAAATTAAATACGATTTATTATCGCAAACTCTTCCAATACAATTTATTTATTCTCCCAACTTCATTTGTCCGCTCATGTCGAATTGGTGCAATTATACAAAGTCGTCGTTGAAAATAATTTAATAAAATTGTGATAAGTGAAACACGATTAACCTAAAATTATTCCCATTCCTCGTAATGTATTCGAACGTATTTGTATTTTAAACGGTGAATAATGTGTGACATTAACGGAAGGATCGACTGAGAATTAAATAAAGGTTAAAATATCTTGCTGATTCGAGAGAGTTTTATTTAATGAAAATCGTACCTGCCTGATCGCCGTAGTTCCTATTCTACCAGTCCGATCTCAGACCTCCACCGATGCATTCGTCCGAGTAAACCTATTCTATTTATTCGACCGAAACCGTACCTATTCTACTTGTCCGACCATAACCGTACCATTTGTCTGATTGAAGGTCCTTCTGTTCTACTTGCCTAGCTATACCTTACCCCGTTTTACTCGTTTCACTATATACCACGCCTACTCCACTTATTCGATTAACAAATGAATCCGCCACTCAACACTGAAAGCGCCGATTAGATCAAGCGACTGACGTCAAAATTTCACAGAAAAGATAATAGCATAATTACATATATTTATAGAACATTATCGGATCTATGAGCAAACGGAAACTCATTTATGACACTGCGTCTCTTAACCCTTTGCAGTCGAAGCTATTTAAATTCGAAATCCAAAACATGATCTCTGATCTACACAGTATTTTCTATAATTATACAAGATTATATAATTATATGATATATTATACAATTTTATATAATATACACTATTTTATATAATTTATTGCGATTTATGCGCATGAAATTGAGCCTACCGACAAGTGCAATGATTTTGAAAAATAGTACACCAACTTTTTAGCGGCGTCTCAGAGCCGCCACTCGATTGCAAAGGGTTCATTTTCTTGCGTTTTGAAGTTATGAAATGTAAAAGACGTCGTCATTGCAAAGTCTAATTTTAACTAGCAGTTTAATCAAGGATCGAAGAATCTAGGAAACCTCTGTTCGAGATATTCGCAATTGAACATTCTGCACGTAGACTCTCGTGACTGATGATAGCAAGCTCCTTGGATGTAGGAGGATTAACGGGGCGTTGATAAGGGTCGATTCTATACAAGCGAAATTGTAAACCGGTATCCCGAAACGTCCGGCGATTTCGATGGTAGCAGCTTAATGTCATGTAACGAATGAAATCTTCCTTTATTCGGACAATAGCTCCATTAAAATTATCTGATGGACAGTTTCGGACAGAAACTGGACGTCGGGTCTGGAACTACGGCGACCCACGTTAGCCCATCCGGTTCGATGAACTCTTGCGATGCCCCTTCCACAGGACCCAAGGAAAAACTGATTCGCTCGCAAATATTACGTTCTCCACCGAGCCAAATTGCCACGTTTGATATCGTATCGATCGGCGAACGTTATCGGGTTTCCCCACTCAAATAAATTACCTCGTTCGAAGTCCTCGTTTCTATTGACAGTTCGTGTTAAATCGAGCCGGTCTATTTTGCGCTTTCGAATTCGACGGACTAAATGATACACGTGTTAAACGGCGCTGCCCTGCTCGAAACGGAATCGATTTTCGGCGGACTCGTTCAATTATTCGCACGTCACGAATTATTGGGCAAGAAGCATAATCGACACGTACGGAAACGGACGAGGAATTAGCCGGAATTAGTCCATCACCTATCGAACTCTGATAGTTGTTACGTGAAAGGAATTACGACGAGTAACGTAACCGAATTGCTTTCTATTAACCCTTTGCACTCGAGCGGTGACTCAGAGGCACCACGAAAATTTTTTTACATCACGTTTTCAGATAATTTTTATATCAACAAAGTTTAGACTTATAAAATGATTAAGAGCGTAACCGTTGTGCGAGTCCCAAGAGTCAATTTCATATGCATAAAATGCATTTTATCGTATAAAATAAAAATACTATAAGCGAGAAAAATGATTTTATATTTACGGTTACAATAGCTTCGAGTGCATAGGGTTAAGCATCTGAACAAATTCAGTTAAAGTGCACTTCGACTACGCACGAATAAAAGTAGTTTCTACGACATTAAACATGCAATACAAAAATCAAAATACGCAAGAATACACTAAAAAAATGGTACACACTTCAAAAATCATCTTTCACGACAAATTGTGACTCAGATAGCACGAACACATCTTTAAAAAGTTTTAAAGTCGTCTGTTAACGATTTATAAATTTAATTGATAATATTTTAACGAGTATACTCGTCGTGTCACAAAATATTGCCATTTCTCCATGACGAGTATACACGTCGAACACAGCTAACTGGTTAAAACAGTTTACGCTGGTACTAAGATTCACCCATCCGCGGGAATCGCAAGAGATCCCCGTTTGTCGTTCGAGGAGAAACACTTGGTCGCTCTGATGGCGATTTATCAACGTTTCCGCTCGACGTGGTAGCGGCCGAAGAAAGTCGACTGAAATAACCAAGCGCGAAATGGGGAGGGTAAACAACGGGCTCGGGCGGCGGGAGAGGAGATCGCGCATCGATGCGTCGTCGTTAAAACTGCATTCGTAGTTCGGAGATCGATGTACCCTGTCGATGCTGTACCGTCGCGTCGCGTCGAGGCGAGGCGAAATGTCGCGATGCGAAGCGACGTCCGTTCGGCCGGCTGTCCAGGAAATTGCGTTTCGAGATCTCGTTCAGATTGCGGCGCACGTTCTATCTTTTGCATACGGGACGGCCTTGCCCGGAGCCCGCGACTGCGAAAAAGGGACGCTCCACTTTTCCCACGATCCACCCCGCCGATCTCCGTCTCGTCATTTAGATATAGCTTTCTTCTCAAGGACAAGTACACCGTACGCGACGCGGTAGTTCACCGTCGAAAGACCGAGCACCGCCGATCGAGAAATGAAATAGCTCCTTCCCCGTATTATTGGAAAAACTCTGCGTATCGAATGCCCCGCTCCCCTCTCCGCCCCTTTTTCACCTCTCGAAGGTACAACGTCTAGATTCTTCCGTTCTTCTTGATATCTCCCATTCGACGCTCGTGCATCTTGGAACGAGACGAACTTCGGGACTGGATATCTGTTCCGCACGAGCGGAACCTATGAATCGTGCGACGTTTCCCAGTTGTTCTCGTCTTTTCTTGGCTCTGTCCACCTGGACCAATCAACGATGCTTGAGTTTTCCTCAAGAAAGTGCCGAGGACAGCGCAATTGCGTAACGTTGCTCCGAAGGTAAAGCACTTTAGCCAGTTCGGAATTTCGAAGCGGTCGTCGTGACAGTTTAAAGATTAATCGACCAATGTCTTGATCGTCTTCTGACTAATTAGCCAACGAAATTGACGATTGTAACGCGATACTTATTACTCGCGTACGGAATTGTATCTTTTCTATTTTTCGTGCCTGTTTGGTATTATCATGAAGAAACTGCAGTAATGTCTCTCTAATTGATACGCCCAGATTGTCCACAAAACTGGACAATTTCGGAAGAGGAGATACGATTATTCCAGTCCTGCAGCTCGAAACTATAAAAACGAACCGCAAGGCTCGAACAACCGTATCTCCTCTTCCCAAATTGTCCATTTTTGTTTACAAGCTGAACTGTAAATAATTTTCCTGAATTATAGTACTTCCATTTTACACGACAAAGTGCGTTTTACGCTTAGAAAATTGAATCTCGCGATTCACACAACAGTTACACTTTCAGTAACATTTAAAATCTGCGCTTCGATAATACAAAGATTATCGTAGAGTATGATATAATCATTTTAGTGGTGCCTCGAAGTCACCGCTCGGCTGCAAAGGGTTAATCACGTATAAATTACTTCGAAGAATGATACAGCAGCTTTTTTAGCGGTGACTCGGAGTCGCCATTCGAGTGCAAAGGTTTCAGAAGTTCTGTTTACAGCATTTCATGTCTTGTAAGAGAACAAGCAGGGTATTTAGCATTTGTTTTCTCTCGGATCTAAACCGATCGACGCCGCGAGTGCTGTCGACGGATGCATCCACCAATCTCAAAGACCGATCGCGAGGAGGTTCTACGGAGCGCAGCGAATGGATCAGCTCTGTCTAGCCATTGCACGGTTTCCTCCGACGCTTCTTTCCATTTTGCATGCAATAAAGATGTCGTCACCATTGTTACTCGCTATTTTATCACGGTTGGATTCCGTTTGGCGGTCAGAGGCGTTGATCCGACGCGCAGTTTCTCGCTTTGAACAGAGGCCCCCGGCCGGTGACACCGGAAACGGGCCCCGAGCCGGAAGCCCGCCGTTAATTTCTCAACGTCCAAATGGGAATGAGCCGAGCTGCGCCTCATACACAACCTCCGCTGTCGTTTTCCGGACGGACGTTAAAGTGCAGAAATGTTTTATGACGCCACCGGCCATTATCCGCCAATTTACGATCCCCTCGGTGCTCCGGGGCTCGCATCGGTGATAACGTTTCATCAAAAATCGCGATCCGCCGTCCCCTAAAACCTATCTCCAAACACGTGATAAGATTTCCAGATGTAATTGCTTCGCTGTTCTCGACGAACAGATTTCTATCTACGGAAACACGCTCGCCGCTGTTCATTCTCCGCTTAGACCCATTATTTTCATTTATTCCGAGGAAAAGTGATCGAGGGTTCGTCGATCCTGCATGGAAAGTTTATGGACAAATAATTTTAAGGTTAAATTATTCGTCTTTTAAGGTAAAAACATACTAATGTGAGGTCACTTGAAATCGCATACAATCATGCGACGTGATTCTGATTCGTTTCCAACAGATTTGAAGCGATAAAAATACGCGGGCTCAGGCTCCTCGATCGTCGCATGATTTCCCGTGATTACCATTAATATTTCCGTTGTTTCGATGAAAATCTATACGTAGCCCTAAACTATATAATTGTTATTATATTTTACAAAATTTA